GGTGCTTATAGCGCCGTTCTGAAAACCACTTCTGTCAGAACGCACCCTGTCTAAAGATTATTATCTATCTATCTATCTATCTATCTATCTATCTTCTCATACATTGTAGAAGCCCCCTCTCCCACCCATTTACCCAACGGTATTGAATTGCAGCCACGAGGCTTGACAAAGAAAACTCACCTTTGTCTTGGGGTTTGAGAGGGGAAGGTAAACAGCAAGACTTTTTAATGAGATGAAAATTAATGATGCAAATACCTTTGCCAAAGCATATTTGGCAGCTTCCCTTTATAGATGTATTGCGAAATTTGTGTTGATGAAAAGTGACTGTGTGTCATCTCAGCGATGTATCTATTTCGTTTCTCATTTCCGTGAGTAGATAAATAGCACATGTCCATTTAAGGTTATGTTACGTGACCAAACTGTGATGAGGTTTGGGTGTCTTTTGCGAAACCGAACTAAGAAAGCCATTTCGCATAAATAACTATTTCGTTTATTAGTAGATTCTTACTCTTGTCAAGGTTCATAAAACATGGAGATACAAGTTCAAAACTGTAAGACCGTTCGCCTTTTCAACTGTGACAAAACTTTCGAACTGAATTCAGTAGAAGCACTCTTGGCTACAGTGAAAGGCAAACTTGAATTCGAAATATCAACGAAGCAACATTTATTCAGACTTTCAGAGATGTCCCACTTGAGTGATAGCGTAGTTCCCTCTCTCCAGATGGATTTTGCCATTTTTGTCGTTCATGCCAATGAATCTCGACTTTCTATCAACGAAGACAACGCTGGCATAGGGTACGCAAAGATCTACAAAGCTTTGTTGAGAGCGACTGGTGAGTCAGGACGTTGTTGTTTGATAAATTAAAGACGCTGTACGTAGTTAACACGTAATGATTGGTGAAAGAACTCCAACCACCAGATCGGTCGGGATAACTTACAGCTGATAAACATTTGAGTTTCAACCGACATTACTGAATTAATTGTCTTAAGGTCAAGCCTCTTAGCCCCCGGCGTTCAAACCGAAATATATTTATGTACATTTTTTTTGTTCTTAAATTTCAGGATTTTCATTTCAGTTCTGTATGCAACCATTATTTCAGGCACCAACTCATAAACTTCTTTGGTACAAAATATAAAATCTTTATTTCTGGATTCGTACACGTAGTTAAATACATGGATTTCAAACAAAGGGAAGTAACGAAATTCGTTGAGTTCGTTTCCTAAGTATGTAATAAATTAAAATCAGGTGAACTGTATTGTTCATCTGCAGAAAAGCCTGGAACATTTTTATTCATACAGATTCAGAATTTCATTACGGTAAAAGTAATCCTGTAGTAAGGTTATCGTAAGTCTGTGAAACGTTCAAAACAAAATGTAGGTTTCTCCAAAATAAGAAGTAGGATTATAACGTACCTCCTGTGATGGAAAACGCCTTGTGTGATTTCGCGTTGCTTCAACCAGGCTCTTGTCAAAAGGAAAACCTGACGCAACATTGTTTGGTATGGACGATTCTCCTGAATGGATCGTCTGTGCTGGTCTGTTCTTCGCCACTACTGGGGCTCCAAGCATTAATTGTATCAAGACATCGGGTTCCACGTTCAGTTTTCCATCCTCCAAGCACACAACAAGGCCCTTTCCTTTCTCTTTGAGCAAACGCTCAATGTTTTCCACAACTGCTAGTTTCTTTTCATCTCCTTTTGGAGCAGGACATTGATCGCAAATTGTAAAGATAACCTTTTCAACTGCAAATTGAAGCAAACATTTATATCGTATTAAAGTGTTCTTATTAATTGTATGAGGAAATTGTACTTCATCGGCTGAGGCTAGCCATAGTGTACGACCAATGGGCGGATGCTGTGATTTGTAAGTTCTATTCATTTTCGTTTCAGATATAGGGACAAATTTTTAAAGTAGGGATCATACTGAGCCTCAATTATATTAACTACCTGATGACTGTACCTTTGCTGTTCTTCTAAAGCATCAAACCCTCTTACCGAAAAAATCAGCTGTTGTCTTGAGAAGTTTTTCCAAATCATGCCGCTGGATTTTATCAAACGTTTTTGTATCCACCACCAGAACACAAAACCTGAGAGTGTATCTCGTCAAGTACGATTTTATTTTCTCTAATGAAAAACGTTCCACTGAGGGATATTCTGGCAGCTTTATCCTGCGGTGGAGGTCTTCGATTACTGATTTCACATCCTGCATTGTTTTCAGTGACACATCACAGCCATGGACTGCTTGGTCTAGAGGATTGAATTAAACAGTAATAATATTATAACTTCGTTTTCTAAAATCTAAAGCCAATCTATAACACTTATTTTCAAAAGACCATCGGTTTTAGTCCATAAACGTTCAACTTTAAATACTCGCCTAACATTTCCACGGCGTTGTTCGCACCCTAAAGTGTGTTACCGAGCATAATCCTAGAATCTTGGGTTTCTGGCACTTGCTTTTTATGTATGGCTCAAAGAAACCCACCATATTCTAGATAAAAGTATCTGACGTTCACATTAAAAGTTTCTTTGGAGTTAAGATTAAAAAATTGGCAGATATGATTATAAACCGTAATATAATGACTACAAGACATGAATAAAGCAGCGCCTTAGGATGTGTTTCGAATTTGTGTTGTTTGTTTACTGTCGTGTGCAATGGTTCATACTACTCTCGAAGCGGTCGTTTTTTGTTGTTCTTGTTGTTATTGTTATCAGTGTTGCCTTTTTTTGTGGACGTCATCCGTTGTTCTTACTTTTAACTTGATGTTCTCCTTCTATAGCCGCAGCAGTTCGCACTGACAGCTGTTGCGGTTTATTGTCCAATAGTGAGCCCTCAGAATCTGCAGCCACATCTGTTGGTGCTACTGTGGATATTTTATTAGAGAGGTCAAGCATAAAAAAGGGAAAAATTTTATAAACTGACTCCAGGAAATATCTATAAAATTTCTATCACTATCACTCAAGAAGGTCTATTTTTGTTAATGTTTTGTGGCATTGCATGTTAACAGTCCTTGTTTTTTGGAAACTGATGTTTATCACTAGGATGGATTTAAATGCAATTATTGACGTTGCCATCTTCATAATCTGTACGTTCTTGCTGTGATTGTCGATATTTTCACTGTCTCGTGGTATCAGTGTTGTTGTTATCCTTGTTGTTTCTTTTGATAACGTTATTATTATTATCGTTGTGCATGATTCTCGTTCAGTTGTTTTAACTGTATTCTGTCTCACCTTCTTTCAGACGTGTTTTCTCCGTAGCATTGTCCCTATGCACTTCGTGCTGTTCAGAACTGTTCTCAAATGATGAGCACCCGTACTCTGAGGTCGAAACAGCATTTGCCGCAAGGGGATCGAGGTGTACGTCTAGTTTAGGTCGCTGAGTAGTGTGAATATCCACACTGCTTTGCCTGGTCACTGCGTGATCTTTATGTAAGGAACTTGACAGATCCCACCTCTCCTTTATTTCTTGTTTACTTTTTCCTTTCGGGAGGGTAGTGGAGCGTCGAAACATGGGCTGCTGCGCAGGTTCTGTTGCTCGTGCGAGCGGACCCGTTGGCTCCGGCCACGCTGGTGGCTCATACTCAAACTTTTGTCCTTTCTTATTAGGATCAAAGTAATGTTTCAGCGCTTGCTCGTGAATTACTCTGTGTTTTCTGCCCCATGAAAAGATGAAACTTTTTCGTCCATCGAGGAACTCTCCCTTCAGCTGGGAACCTATCTTCCTTCGTGCCCACCGCGAGGCGACAGATTTTTCCTTTTCCTCTTCATTGCTGTAATTGTCATCACCACCGATAACAACAGTCACGTTGCCGTCTGCGTGGCTAGAAAAAAATTAAATAGTTCACATAAATAGTTCACATAATTGTCCTAAAATGACTGAGTCTTACTCGCTCGACAGAAACGTGACATTCGTGGTCGTGCTACTGTTTCAACTCGGCCAAGTCATTTTAAAAAATCTGAGGGGTCAGTGGCGAAATTAGAGATCTACGCGATTAAATAGGAGAGAATCGTGAATTCTCGTGTTTAAAACTTGGAAATCGTGAATGACGAGATATAGCTAGAATATAAATCATGAATACGGAAAAAAGTTCACGAAATATTAGGCTGAACATGAGGCAAATATGACAAAATCTGATAGAACAGAAGTGTTATTTTATATTTTATTCGTCGATATTTTAATCGTAAAAACTCATTTCAATTAACCTATGAAGACAGCTTTCACAGCCTCGGTCCTCCAATTTGCATCAAAGGTCGCAGACACGAGGAGACGTCCCCGGCTGCAACTAGTCTCTGCAACTAGTCCCTTGAAGAGTTTACACGAAGGGACTGATCGCAGGGACTCATACTAGTGTTAACACTCGGGGATCAATTACATAGGAAAGTGGCAAAAACAGGGGGCAAACGATATCATTCTTTCACTCTGCAGTTTTCTTAAGAAACCAAAATTATGAAAATAGCAATGCAGCATTGAAATAAATCAGCTCAGTACAAACCGCAGGTTTTTCAGTGAAATTAACCTGTGCTTGAATTGTTTCTGTCGGGTATAAGCGGAAAATAACGCTTTGTTACCGATGAGATGTGGCCAATACAGAAACAGAAAGGAACGAAAATTCAATGACCATTTCCAGTACTTAGGGACCGACCATTTAACTTTTGATAGGGGGGGTGGGTGATCTCTGGTCATCAAGAAATTTTTTTCTAGCAATCTGCTGTGCAGGATATTTTTTTCCGATTTTTTGGTACATTTTTTCTGTTACATTTAGGCTGCATGCAATTTCCAACAAGCGCTTGCAGGAATCTTTTTTCAAAATAACCCACCCCCCCCTCAAAAGTTAAGTGGTCAGCCCCTTATGTAAATTATTTCAAAACTGGTTTAATCCCGGGGAGGAAACATTAGAGAAATTATCTCGGAGTCACGCAATCGCTTCTCTAAATTGTGATACCGATGTGTGATTGGTTTATTTTAATTTGGTCGCAGAGACTCGTCCCACGAACAGTTCACACGAATCGTTTTGAGGAACGAGTTGCAAGTACTTGTCCCAAAAATTCAAACCAGTTTGAATTCCTGGGACTAATCGCAAGTGCCAAATTTTAGTTCCTGCGACTAGATTTTGTGGCAAAAATAGCTAGTTCACACAATGGGACTTGTTCCCGCGACTTGTTGCAGGGACTAGTCGCAGGGACTAGTTTCCTCGTGTGGGTCGACGTATTCCAAACGTAGGGGACAAAGTCCAGATAGGCAACAGCCCGTCCGTCGGGATGCCCACGTGAAAGCCTTCCAAATATGATTTTTTTTTCTCTTCGTTCACTTTATTTTCAGTTATTCGAGAAATGGAGACCTCAAAATATCTTTGGTGAAGGTGTCCTTTAGACAAAATTGAGTTTTGGTTTGTTTCCGTGGTAAATTGAAAAACATTAATACAGTTGAGCCCACGGTACAGCGGTATTAGTTACAGAGTGCACGAAAGCGAGGCTTACGGGTCAAATGAAATCACCTCAACAAACACTCGTGTGACAATTTGACCTGTGGAGTGTTTTCTTCGTTTGTGATTACAGAGCTGGTGGTTCATCCGGCCTAATTCTGTTGTGAAAATCATGGCGAGGCACTGCATCGCTTATGGATGTGTTAACAGAAGTAATAAGCCACAATGTTCAAAATTTTCCTGGCATTCTTTACCTGTAAACAATGCTAAGCTTCTTCGAACCTGGTTGCTTAGAATGAAGAGAATAGACCCTCCTGTGTCGAAACACTCTTACCTCTGCAGTCAGCACTTTTTTGAAGTTTGTTTTAAGCGTTGTGTGGGAGGAAAACGATATCTGAGAAGTGGATCTGTTCCTACAAGATTCAGTTTTTCACTGGAGGAACATAAGGCGAGAGGGTGTTTACAAGAGGCGAATGGATCTTTCCCTGCTGTGCATGGACTGCAGCAGGCATAGGTGATCTCACCAGCTTGCTCTCCTGAATTGATCATGGTAACATTGAGCTTGTACTTCAAATTCTTTTTCATCTCTGGGAGACATTCACCTTTTATATGGATCACGTCTCCATTTTCACTCGTGCCAACTTCGATATTTTGTACGTGACCATGTCTGAATAGTCCAAAAGCCTTACTATTCAAATTTTTATAGTCTTTCTTGCCTTCATATCTCCCGATTTTCTCTCAGTAAAGTAATTCATCATGTTTTTAATTATGAACGGTGGAAATTCAGCACTCTGGATGGGACACCAGTTTGCAGCTTGTGGAAACTCGTACGGAGTGTTCGGAGAACTCGTGCTGGACGAGGAAACATCATCATTATTTCRRGAGTCAGATGCTAAGTGTTTCCAACTTTCGGTGAAATTGTTTTCCCATCCATTTTTTATGTAACTTACAATTCTACAAAAAAGATAACGTTATATACGCTTAAAAGAGAGAGAAAAATAGTTATTGCTGTACGAATATTTGACAGGAGGAACGATCCTACATCCTACCGCTCACCTGTGCATTAGTTTGCGTTTGTTGGCCTCACTCGAAGCACTACCATCTTTGCTAGTTCCTACACGGTATGAAAGCCACGTTCTCAGCTTAGGCTTTGTTAAATGACGAGGACAGTTTCCACTGAGTAATTGTAGCCTCTCTTCTTGTGAGAAAAATGCAAAATCTGAGGGGAACTCATAATTATTTTTCTCGAATTTTCCTCGTTAGGCGCTTGCTTTTTCCTGAAAGATTGACCCGAAAGCCTCGCTTTCGCGCACTCAGTAACTAATACCGCTGTAACGTGGGCTCAACTGTAAGAACAGCTATTCGTATTCGCATCCGTTGTTTGGTCTCGTCACGCCACGGGGATGGGGAAGAGAGCGTGTTACTTGACGAGACTAAACAACGACTGCGAATGAGACTACAGTAAACGTGGCACCAAATGCAGTTCATTTGTGCTTAGAATATTTCAGACAACAGTGACGACAGACCACAAAATACCTGTTGTGAGTTTTTTTTTCATATAAATCGGAACTTCTTTTACCTCTCTATCGTACGGTATTTTTGTTGGAACTTTGAAAGATAATGAATGGTCTTTTCTTATGTAGTTATTCAAAGTGTCCAATCTCAACCCACCCATTCAAAAAATAACTCTTCTTGCATGCGTAGCATGCTTATGTTTAAAAGAAAGATTCAATAGACTCCTGTCGTAATCAACTTCCGGTTTCATTATACCTGTCGCCTGAAGCAAAGCTCTGTAAACTTTAGTGTATCCCCCTTGAGTGCCTTCGTTGATGGAAAGACGAGATTCGTTTGCATGCACAGCTAAAATGGCAGCATCCATCTCCAAGGTGGGAATCCTTTGATCGCTGAACTCAGACATTTCGGAAAGCGTGAAATAGTGTTGCTTCACTGATATCTTAATGCCAAGTTTTGCTGACGTTGTCGACAAAAAATCTTTGATGGGGTCGAGCTTACAAAGACGGTCGCAGTTGAAGAGATGAAACTTACGAAGCGATGCCATAATATTTCTTTTATCTAGGGGATGATTTGAAATCTGAAATGTCCTTTTACCTAAGACTGAATAGAAAGAACATCAAGATGTCATTTAAGCGTTATGAAGCATGTTAATAGCGATCGATTCTATTTCAGGAAATCACATTACATACCTTCAAATGACTCAAATAATTTCTTTTGAAGAGATCAGCGATTACCCATTCTCAGGACTACACTCACCCGGACGATCAGACTACACCTTAACTTTTTAATCGTTATATGCAACTCGTAAGGATGAATATGCCTTGAAAACTCGGAATATCCGACTCGAGAACTCTTGCTGATTTGTTTATTATGGTTAAAATATGTATGTATGTATGTAAATCTTTATAGCCTCGAGCGACTCTAGCCTCTTGAGTGCTTAGCAAACCTCCCAAGTGCATCCATAACTAAATAGTGTACGCTCTGGTGTTTGCCATTTGTTTTATAACATAACTCTGATACATAGTAGCTAAAGAGTTCCCTTTTATTTAACAAATTTTACGTGATCAGAAAAGACAAGCGCGCGCGGAAAAATAGTCTTTGCATTTGCTCACGTCAGCAGCGTACAGCCATGGGCAAATGGGGGACACTAAATTGACGAATCAGAGCGCGCACTTTACTTTGGTTATGTTATAAAAGTATTTGACCCCATTATAGCTAATAGTTAGCAAAATATCATTTTTCAGACAATTAAATTTTTTATGCAATAAATGGCTTGAACCCGCGGCCGGGGGTAACATGTGAAGGTGTAGTCTGATCGTCCGGGTGAGTGTAGTCCTGAGAAGGACTGTTGTCGGTGGTAGTGACTGACGTTTCGACAACCTGTGCGGAAGTCATCATCAGAGTCAAGTGAATGATTGTTGTCAGTAGAATGTTCTTATTCCAGTTCGTGTGAAATGATCGGTTGGTTTTGCCGTGATGTTATTGGCTGTAAGACTCAAGTGACGTAAGTCGGTCGTGATTGGTCTGTTTCGATCTGTCGGTAAAGTTAGGTCGTTCTTTTTCGGTCGTTTGTGATGTTTATGTCGTGAATGAGTCGTTTGTATGGAGCGGGTAGTTGTTGACATCTGTTTAGGGGAGTCTGTTCTAAGTTAGTAAACCAGCTTTCCAGAGTCAGTCGTTGAAAATAGTCAGTGCTGTAGGTTAGGCATTGCGCAGAGTCCCAGTCAATGTTGTGGTTGGTAAGTCGATGGTGTTCAGCAATGTGATTGCTGACATCACCTTTCCTCGTCGCCCGTCTGTGTTCAGTCAGTCTTGTTGTGAGGTTTCTGCCAGTCTCACCGATGTAGGAGGCTTGGCAGTCGGAACAATTGATCTTATAAATCGTTCCCTGTCTGTTCCTCGGTTCGTCTTTGTCTTTAACGTTGGTTAGTAACTGACGTAGTGTGGTGATGGGTTTGTGGGCGACGCGGATATTGAAGGGTAGTAAGATGCGCGAGATGTTTTCAGACATGCCTTTTATGTACGGTATGGTTGCTGTAGTCGTAGGGGTTGCGGTGTCGTTTGTTTCGGTAGTGGTAGTGGGTCGGTGAGTGTTTCGTCGGATGAAGTCGTTGTTGTAGTTGTTCTTCGTAAAAACACGGTGAAGGTATTTGTTCTCGTCGGATAAGCTGTCTGTCGAGTCGCATACTANTGAAGAGACTTTCTTGCAAATCTCTTCAACGTGGCTACCCCAAGAGAGTTGGGCATCTATAGTAAGACCCAAAGATTTGGTCTTGTCGACTCTCTTGATAATTTGGTCATCAATTCTGATTTCTAAGTCGTTACATTGGGCAGATAGTCTTTGTCTTGATCCAATAATCATTAACTCTGTTTTAGCAACATTTAGACTGAGCTTGTTAGCTTTCAGCCAACGGCTAAGGTTATTCAATTCAGGGGTTAGAGCTAGCTCAAGCTCTGTTAATGTCTTAGCAGATATCGTAAGATTGGTGTCATCGGCAAACATTCTTGGTGCGGCGCCCCGCAGGGAGTTGGGAAGATCATTAATGTATATTAAAAATAGCAAAGGACCCAATATGCTACCTTGCGGCACGCCGCAACTGAGGGTACGGGCAGATGATAGTTTGCCACCGACACTACATCTCTGAGTTCGGCCACTCAAGTACGACGAGAACCACTTACTAGCTGCCAGATCGACACCCAAGTATGACATCTTGCGCAAGATTATTTCATGATCAATGGTGTCGAATGCCTTAGTAAGGTCAATAAAGACAACGCCGTTATAAATAGTTATTTTTTCTCTTTGAACATCACTCATTCTTGTTAGGAAATAAATTCAATGATGCTTGAGCCGTAGTCCTAAACAAATAACTCTTAAATTGCACGTCTTTCTCGTTCATACGTCTATACTTTCGTGACAGTTCGAGTCGGTTTCATTTGCATGTTCTAGCCGTCGGTTACGTTTGTATCTATTTTAAGTATACTCAGATATACCCAACTTGAACGAGTAGCATCCCGGTAAAAATACAAGTAGATTAAAGTGTTACCGGGGCCTCGGGGTTTTATATAAACAGACTGCAACATTTAACCGTCGAACCCTATCAATCTATGCTAATCGGGATCGATCTACTTTCACTTTCAACTTCGGTGTCGAATGGACCTTTGTTGTCGAAGATATATAACACTTCTGCATTAAATTTGACAAAGTTACCGCTGCTTTTCGTACAGAGAGTTTTTCTCGCCCAAGAAAGCGTTATCAAGCATAATTAAATGTGTTTGAAACGAGGAAAAGTAAAAGAGAAAATACTTCTGCTTCCTTCCTGCTTACAGTAAAGTTCTGTATATCTTGGCCAAGCCAGTTCTAGTGTCGTCTTCGAAGATAGGGAGCCGAGACTAATATATTATCACAGTTGAATAAATGAACTCGCCTTTTTGACTGTGACATATTCTTGTCTATCGCTTTGAACGTAGCTGTTGTTTGAAACCTGGAAGAGTTCCTGGAAATATTCAAATTCACCCTTACAACTAGACGGTTGGGCAATGTTTCCGAAAAAGCCTGTCGCCCTTCTTATCATAATATGGCGCGTTTTTACGGAGAAAAATATACATCGACATTCGTTGTTCAAAGCTTGATTATTGGTTCAATGTAGAACTCAGATCGACATTCAACATTAATACGGAAACGTTTAACATTCAAGCGAACATTCAATATTCAAGACTACTCGTCGTACACGCTAACATTTATTACTCGAACCGAACTTCTACATGCGTGCCAGACGATGATTATTATCAATTCAACTTGCATGTCAACATTCATCATTCATAAAAGAGTGGGACCCAACGGTCCCTGCTGCTTGGGCGAGGGAGTGGCGACCAAGTCGTTGATTTTTCAAAGATGGAGACCGATGATAGAGAGGTGTTTACAGCACGAGTGGAATCCCTAGCCTCCTGAACCTTTTCAATAATCATGACAGCATAGACTATTACAGAGGTGATACCTCACAGACTCGTGCAAATACATTGTATCACCACGCTTTCCGTCTGTGCTCATTGGGTATTGTTGCGGAATCTTCCGTTGAGAAGCTGAAACTCACGGTGGACTTCAATCAATCAATCAATCAATCAGTCAATCAATCCTTTATTTAAACACGTGACACCTAGGAGTACAGAAGTTCTCGTTAAAACGTGTACGTGTATGTACAATTAGAACGAAAACATA